TTTCACGATCTGGGTCATTATTTAATACAAAACAATATTTAATACAAAACCACACATAATGTTTCTACTGTATCTCTGTCAATCACTCTGATATTTAGTTAAAATGAGTGAATTGCTGTCTGTCACTTTAATCAGTTATGTGAATGACTGTATGGTATGCCATGTTTTAATTTGATCTTCATATAACATAAAGAAAACACTAAAAATATCCTCAAGTTTTAATAAAAATAATTGGTAACACTTTAAAATAAGTTTCCATTAGTTAATATATTAACTAACATGAACAAACGATGAACAATACATTTATTACAGTATTTATTAAACATTGTTAATGTTAGTTGATAAAAATACAGTTGTTCATTGCTAGTTCATGTTAATACACTGTGCATTAACTAATGTTGATTTTAATAATGCATTAGTAAATGTTGAAATTTATATTAACTTAGATTAATAAATGCTGTAGAAGTAGTGTTCATTCTTAGTTCATGCTAACTAAAGTAGTTAACTAATGAAGCCTTATTGTAAAGTGTTACTAAAAAATTAAATGTGTGTATTATATATATATATATATAGATAGATTGATGTGCATATTACGTATATATTTTGATTAATGTAGTATGCAGATTGTGAACATTATTTCACATTATTTTATAAAACTGCCTTTTATGTGAAGTCAAAATCTTATATGACAAAAATAATTGCAAATACTAATTAAATGAACATATGTACTATTCCCATACGCCGTAGCCTGACGTGCACCTCTCCAAAAATCTAACAGCGCGTCAATTCTGAAAATAGCAACATGATCGGTGATATAGTATGCGTTCATATGTGTTAAGGGCTAGATTTTCGCTGGAGGAAACAGCTGTTGTGTGATGAGGGGTGAACGCAGCAAAAACTTTACAGTAACGTTAGATTGGAAACCGATTGCTCCCTCGTGACCTTTTGTAAACTGTATTTATGGCAAAGAACTGCACAGATACAGATATTATAACAATCTTTTTTATCGTTTTCATATGAAATTTAAAGTGGACTGACTCTGAGGCGATCACGAATTTGTGTACAGTTTATGGAGCTAATTGCTATAGCCCTGCTAAAAATGGCCTAGCGACGCCCATGCTTCTTACGTCCATTTCGGAGAACCAGGACAAATATTTCAATCGATCGCTCAGGCATTTAAGTGGCACCGAAATGAGGCACCGAAATCTGCGTTCTGATTCGGTTCTAGTACATACCGGTTACATAGGTACCGGTGCCATATTGGCACCAGGTTTCGGTACCCAACCCTAATTACAGTATTTATTAATATTTGTTATTGTTAGTTAATGAAAACACAGTTGTTCGTTGTTAGTTCACAGTGCATTAACTATGTATCTAATGTTAACAAGCACAACTTTTGATTTTAATAATGCATTAGTAAATGTTGAAATTAACATTAACTAAGATTAATAAATGCTGTAGAAGTATTGTTCATGCTTAGTTCATGTTAACTAATACAGTTAATTACTGTCAACTAATGAACCTTATTGTAAAGTGTTACCAAATAATGTAAGTCCCCGTAGTTGAAGAAACAACTTTGTATATGTGAAGAATACACAAATGTATAATTTACTGATAAACCACAAAAAAATAAACACATCCCTGTATTCATTGCACAAAATTATTCTAAGAATAATTCATTTCTGTACACTCTGTGAATAAAAAAAAAAAACAGTGGGCCAATATTTATCAGCGATTATGTAAACTGTCAGCAGAAACGGCTTTATCACATTCCTCTCAGTGGGGAAAGCATTTCAGAAGTCATTACCGCAAGGATTGTGTCGAGATGCCGAATAAAGCAGATGGCAATGCTGCTAACTTAGCGGAAAGCCTTTGTTTTCAAAGGTTTGAATCAAGCTGAAAATCCCCTACTTTAAATGCACACATCCCCAGCCCAGTGTTGCTACCTCAGCAACACCTCGTTCTCCGCTAATAGGGAGGATAAACATATAGCCCATAGGGAGTAGTGGTGATTTTCTTGTGAGCCAGGAATCATACTGAATGAAAACTTTTAATGGAATACATTAAGAAAGTGTTAACGCTTCTGGCTATCAGCACAAAGCAAAATGGAAAAGACTGATTGAGCGGCGGTTCGAAAGGGGAAAAGAATTGTATACTTGTCAGGTTCTCGGGCTCAGCGGATCCTTTTCTGCAAGAAAATGAACACAATTGTGTTTATAATGATACAGCAGAATAAGGACATACTCAGACAGGGACATGAATTGATTGCGTCTGTGATTTTCCATCTGATGGGGTGGGGGGGATTAGACTGCATATAATCTTCTGTTCATATTCTTCAAGCAGTAAATAATTACCACACGATTAAAAACGGCTTCTGAGAAACAGCACCAACCCCCCTTGCACAAGCCCCCTGCGGTTTAGGCCTCTCCCTGTGTAGCAGAAAAGCAAGCGGCACATG